GAGCCACTGCGCCTGGCAGAAAATATTTGTAAGAATGAAAGGATGCTCTCCAAAATACTATACACAAGCTTATAATTTGTATAATCTAGTGCAACAGCCTTGAAACTTCAGCAACTCATTTTCATCACTGTACTCCAAATCTTACCACCAATAACTACTTTGCTGCCAGAACTCCTTGTCCATAAGGAGCCCTCTCACCTGCCATCCACCATCATGACCAGCTGTCCCTGGCTCTCTGCTGACACATCCATCTGACAACCAGTACCTCTGGACCAGACCAGCAGCCCATCTCTGCTCCTGCTTTGGGGCTCCCAAACATCAGCCTAAGAGCAGCCATACCCTAGTTACTGGCAGCATCGTAGATCGGAGATTCCCAACAACAGCTGGGTCCCTCACATTGCTCAACAAAGTATGAGCCTCAAGTGTTAGTCTCTCATCCTTCTTGATCCCATCAAGAACTGTCTCAAAGTCTTACCGTATTGCATCAATGTCACTCACTAAAGTGTTGTTATGATTAACATCTTTCTTATATCAGACTTTACTGAAGCATTTTTTTCAATCTTAGGAACTTAAAGTGATCTTGTGAATGGTCAGGGTCCCTATACACACTGTAGTGAAGATAGGAAATAAATGCAGAGAGAGTGAAAAAGAAAAAGGAGAGAAGGAGAGGGAGGACAAAGAAAGAGAAGAGGGGAAGGAGACAGAAACAGAGATCTACTGATTGACTAGAAACATTTCCTACAAGTCAGATAAGTAATGCCATGGTTCCTGTGGTGGCCATATAATACCATATAATTTTAAGTAATCTTATCCTCCTGTGTTTAAGACTACTGGATGCCCACTAAACTTATTCTTCCATAGAATTAATACTTTTATTTATAAGACCCTCTATTCTTTTAGTAAAAACAGGGTTTTGCGGTATTGATTTTTCTTACCAGAAAAAGGCGAAATCAATAAAATCTTTTCTGTTCCAATATAGTCAGTCCACTTCTCACCACCTCTGCCGCCGCCACGGTTTGGGCTGCCTGCTGAAGATGCTCAGAATTCCCTCGCCCCTGCCCTGGACCTGGCTCCCTCAACACAGCACTCCCTCCTTCCCCTGAACTCTTGGAAGAGCTCTCCAGCTGTGCTTCCATCTGAATCCCACCCTAATAAACATACCGTCAATTCTAATTTTACCACTATTTCCTCATGAGCTAAAATTCGCCTCTTTTCCATTTCTCACCCCGAATGACCTTCCCTGTCCCTAACACACTGCTGACCACTGACCACTCCCTGAAATACATTCTTCATTTATTATTCTTTCCCTGGTTTCTCTTCCTCTGCTTATCCCTTAAATATTGGTATTCATCTGGGTTCTGGAAGGTTCCCCTTTTTTAAATGCTATGTAAAAGCCCTGGGATATCTTGTTCATGGCTGTTGCTGCTCACAAAGTATTTCCAATTCTCCCTCCTTCTGTACATGAGCTAGGAGTGCAATTCCTTGACTACTCGAACTTGGCTGAGGCCATTTAATTGCTCTGGCCAATGAATGTGACCTGTGTCGTTCACTGGCAAAGCCTTAAGAATCAGTTAGTATGTAATTTGCCACATCATGATTTTCTTATCCCAGTGGTCATGAAAATGTGTTTCCAAGATGGGCCCTGAGGGAACGTGACCAGCAGGAGCTGCCACCCTGAGCCAGACACAGAACACAGGGAAAACATGACAAGCAGGAGTCGCCAGCGTGCGTCAGCCATGGAACACGAAGAACACAGTGCTGGGTGAGCGCTGTGGAGTGTGAGGCAGTTTATCATCACAGCATGACTCAGCCTCTCCTGACTGATAACCAATACTCATTATATATTTCCAGCTCAATTTCTCTGCTGACAATGAACTCCAATGTATCAATGTCCCAACATGGCTTCTACTAAGACAGCTGTCAGAATGGAGCCTTAGGAATATTTTTGTGACCTGAAGAAATCCAATAAAGCTCAGGTAAATATCAGCTGAGATTTCCCCTGTACATGTTTGCACCAGCGTTCTCTGAAATCCAGGAGTTTGCTGGTTTACTAAGCAACAGAACACTGAGATGTCGTCTTCAGAAAACAATGTCTTATAAGCAATAAACAATAATTTCCATCTTCCTGTGTCTATTTAGAGACGAATATCACAATTCTTTTTCATTCAACATGTATGAATGCCAAGGGGTCCCCTGGATAAATTACATGTTACCTTTCACCCGGCGTAGCTTGCTCAGAACATTCTTCTGAATTTTCTTCTTATAAAACTAGCATTTAACACTCAGAAATATTTAAGTACATATTCAAATTTATACATTCCATTTTCCTGTTAGGTTATTCGTCAATTTATATGATGTTTAAATACCAAATCTAAGGAAAACCTTCTCCGGAGCCTCACTATCTGCAGCGCTCTGTCTGGAGGCGCGGCACGGCTGCATGCCCGGAGCCTCGCTATCTGCAGCGCTCTGTCTGGCGGCGAGGCTCGGCTGCATGCCCGGAGCCTCGCTATCTGCAGCGCTCTGTCTGGCGGCGAGGCTCGGCTGCATGCCCGGAGCCTCACTATCTGCAGCGCTCTGTCTGGCGGCGAGGCTCGGCTGCATGCCCGGAGCCTCGCTATCTGCAGCGCTCTGTCTGGCGGCGAGGCACGGCTGCATGCCCGGAGCCTCGCTATCTGCAGCGCTCTGTCTGGCGGCGAGGCATGGCTGCATGCCCGGAGCCTCGCTATCTGCAGCGCTCTGTCTGGAGGCGCGGCACGGCTGCATGCCCGGAGCCTCGCTATCTGCAGCGCTCTGTCTGGAGGCGCGGCTCGGCTGCATGCCCGGAGCCTCGCTATCTGCAGCGCTCTGTCTGGAGGCGCGGCTCGGCTGCATGCCCGGAGCCTCGCTATCTGCAGTGCTCTGTCTGGAGGCGCGGCTCGGCTGCATGCCCGGAGCTTCACTATCTGCAGGGCTCTGTCTGGAGGCGCGGCTCGGCTGCATGCCCGGAGCTTCACTACCTGCAGGGCTCTGTCTGGAGGCACGGCACGGCTGCATGCCCTGCAATCTCCCCTGCTCTACAATCAGGAACGCACTCTTCTCCCTGGGAGCTGTCTTGTGCATTCGCGATGTAATGCATGTAAAGTTTTAGAAAAGTGTCCACCACGTGGCAAGTGCTCTCCAAGCCGGAGCTATAACTGCTACCCTGAATCTTTATTGGGAAGGGAGGACTGAGCATGTATTCAGCACCAGGAAGATACTAGCCACTGAAAGAACACTTGTACATCAGGTTGAAAAGCTAACGTGGTAAACTGCAAGAATTAAATCCAATTCTGTAAAACTCCAAAGATGCCCTTTCAATTATGAGATACATTATGCCAACATTAAGCAAATTTAGAAGGCAGTTTTTTTAAGAAAGGAGAAGGAGAGAGGAACAGGGAAAAGGAGAGGGAGTGAAAGAATGCAGAGACAGTACAAACTGGAAGAATTTCTAGGCCACAAGGTGGCTAGACAGTACAGAACCTATTGCCTTACACAAACTAGTTATAACCATTTCTTGACTAGCAGTGAGGGTTCCCCATGCGAGTCCAACCCCACTTCAGAGGGAAGGATGATGCGCTGAGTGAAGCACCGGTGTGCACCAAGGCCTGGGCACCGACTCAGCAGCGAGCTTCCAGGGCTGGATTCCAACGCACAGTCGCAAAACTAAGAGGCCGCTCCAACCCACAGTCAGGACCCTGATAAAGAGCTTGACGGGTAGAGGTGGGAAGAAATAATAGAGGCTGACTGGAGGAAAAAATGACAGAAAATAAGTTGAATGAAGAAAAAGATGGGCTAAAAAAAGTCACAGTAAAAGGCAGTGTAGCTTTTAAGATTTTAAATTCATACTGAAAATTAAATTTATCCTCAAACATCCTCATAAATGCAAAAGTAAAAAGATTCAGGACAAACCCTAGAATTTGTAGGTGCCTCAGCCTCCCAAAGTGCTGGGATTACAGGCGTGAGCCACTGCCCCTGACCACAAAACTAGAATGTTCTAATGCATAGCGAGACTACAGGTATCCACCACAATGCCTGGCTAATTTTTTCATTTCTAGTAGACACACTTTGGGAGGCTGGATCACTTGAGGCCAGCCTGGTCTTAAACTTCTGGCCTCAAGTGATCCAGCCTCCCAAAATGCTGGGATTAGAGGCATGAGCCACCACACTTGGCCTGTCTTTTCAAAGAATTATTTGATTTCCACTGTGTTGTAGTAAGACTTCCAGCAAAAAATAGCAAAAGATAACTTTTACTATTAATTGCCCACAGAGTGAGGCACAAATGTATGTGAAGATTTTTTGTTTCATTTAAATGCACACAAATTACATTTTAAATAAAAATGAGTAAAATCAATACTCAGAGCTTCTCATTAACTGGATGTTAGCACACACTGTGGCTTCATGTCGTACGGTATCATGATGATAGTTACTGATAATTCAGACTTTCCGTTATGATTAAATTTACACACGTTACATGCATAAATAACAATTTTAGAAATATAACCAAATTAGGATATAATCAGTCTTTAAAACTAAATTTTGGCTTTCAATATGCTTCTTATGAAATGGAAATAAATAAACTGGTTTAACATCAAATTAAATACTAAAAAAAAATTAATACAGATTCCTTTATTTTAAAATGAACCATCAGCATAAAAGAGTGCAAATTGTAAAATAAATAGACTGAAGATAAGAAATTAGTCACAATTGACTGTCAAATTACAGGCAAATTATATACCTAACAATGAAAATTTAAGACACATACAAAACTGAGTAGCCAAGCAATGATACTTTTGGAAATTCTTCAGTATGAGAATGCTGTTATATAAACACAGATAATTCATATCCTAAGTCACCAACATTTTTGAAAGTCCATTTTAAGAAATATATTAAGCCAAAAGAATGAGCTATTCAGAACTATGCAGACTTTGTTACTGAAAGGAAAAACAAGTTCATCAAAGCAGTTGCTCCTCAATCTAGCCTACCTTATTTTTTGGATTGGATGTGTTCATTACACTTCGAGTCTCTTTTCCAGTATAAATGACAACACCTATTACAGTACCTGCAAAAACATGAAAGTGGTCCTTATAGAAATACTTTAAAGGTGAGTAAAAGATAACACTTTCTAATTAACAGTTTTGATGGAAAGCATTATCACATTATTTTATTTTATATAAATTTATCCAATAGTGTATTTATTTTGGCTATTTTAAGAAAATCTAATCTCAGCTCTAAAAATGAACTCTGATAAAGTCAAATGATTTGTTAAGCAATACAAATGTACCTACCTATAACATTAGAAAATGTACTAATATTGTTTTCACTGATAACAGAAAGAATGACAATGGTCTTTCACTACTGTCTACTAAAATGGTGGTTCTATCACTGAAGGTTAATTAAGAGGTTAACTGATCAAACTTGTCCTTTGACTTTCTTTTTTTTTTTTTTTTTTTGAGACAGAGTTTCGCTCTTGTTACCCAGGCTGGAGTGCAATGGCGTGATCTCGGCTCACCGCAACCTCCGCCTCCTGGGTTCAGGCAATTCTCCTGCCTCAGCCTCCCGAGTAGCTGGGATTACAGGCACGCGCTACCATGCCCAGCTAATTTTTTGTATTTTTAGTAGAGACGGGGTTTCACCATGTTGACCAGGATGGTCTCGATCTCTTGACCTCGTGATCCACCCGCCTCGGCCTCCCAAAGTGCTGGGATTACAGGCTTGAGCCACCGCGCCCGGCTGTCCCTTGACTTTCAAACAAAGATGGTACCAGTTGAACCAGTTTCTTTTAGTATATTTCCACTGTAAAGATCAAAGCATTACTAAGTATCAGTGACAGCCTTTGCTAACATTTCAAAATGTATTCAATTAAAATAGGAGTATTACAAAAAACAGTATTTGATTTTGCATTTAGAAGCTATTACTCTCTTTTATACATAAAAAGATACAATAATTTTTAAACTTAAGAGAAAAGAATAAAGTACTCTTGTGACCCAGAGATTGCAAAGGCTAAAGGGCACTTATTTCTAGAATATCAGTATTAAAAACCATTAAGTCTCTTTCTGAAGCTACAGCCATATATAATTTACGTTCCTAATTGTCATCCTTAACTTTTTGTAAATTTTGAAGGTGAGAAACAATTAAGGTGAGAAAGTATATATGCATAATACTCAGTGCAATTATCGTTACAGAATTAACTATAATAATTATACAAAAACCCTTTGATGTCACATTAAATTAACATTTAAAATTCAGAGCATCATAAGACAGGCTCTTTGAAGTAAAGATGATTGATATGAACTCTTTCAGCTCTCTGTGAACCTTGATATGTTACATATTATACATATCACATAGCTTATACCTTCCTCTCTAGAAAATCTCGGAAGGAGGAAGACGTAAAGTATTCCCCAGCAGTGATATGTGCAGAGATTATATATATTTCTCTTTTGATTGAGTGTCACTGAGAAAGTGTGAAGCTTCAGTTTGTAGAAGTTCATGAAGGTATGGCCAGCTCACACTTTGAATACAAGCTCCCAGAAGCACAAATGCCGTCTTGACTATTATTATACACATAAACTTCTGAGATTAGACTATACTTATTATGGAGAGAAATATCAAATATATAATAATACAACAGTACTATAAAAAGCTTTCAAAAAAGAAATCATAGAATTACTTTATATCAGTGAAGCTAAATATTAAATATCATCTGATCAGAATTTTGTTTCATCAATTTAGTTTAACTTAATCAAAATATAAACATCCTGCTAATGTTAAATTATCACAATGATGTAACAAGGTAAACTGCAAAATTAAATTTTTTAAACATTAACAGAATGAACAAATCTCAGAGAAGCCTTTCCAAGAATTAATCAAGCTAGAAAACCTTTACCTAAAAGAAGACTGATGAGCAAAGTGGATTCCAGAGTGGCCTTACAATTTACAGTACCAAAATTCAACGTGATAAATGACAAGGCACACGGAACAAATTTTTAACAGAGGTCCTGATACAGTATTTGTATAGTCTGTTAAGGTTTGCTAAAGGTTCTCATAAGTATTCTCTCACTTGATTCTCATGAAAAATGAATACTCACTAGAATTAGAGTAAATGAATTTCTCTGTCATGCTTTTTAATATCTGGCATAACTAGAATCAGTACAGAAATATTTGGAACATTTTCTATTCTCATAGGCTAAAAGATTGAGACACGAAAGGGCAACAAAATATGACAAACTCATTTTCTGTTGCATAAGAGGAAGATGAACATGACAAATATAAAATGTCACAAAGATTTCTCAGTAAATAAAATACATGAACAGGAGAATTCCAAAACTTTAACCCATATTTTCAGTGTAAAATCAAGATCTACCTCCCTCACAACGGGCTCCAACTGTAGAAACTTATGTTGGTTAAAACCACAGCTGGCCAGGAGCGGTGGCTCACGCCTGTAATCCCAGCACTTTGGGAGGCCAAGGTGGATGGACCACGAGGTCAGGAGTTTGAGACCAGTCTGGCCAACATGGTGAAACCTTATCTCTACTAAAAATACACACAATTAGCCAGGCATGGTGGCAGGTGCCTGTGATCTCAGCTACTCAGGAGGCTGAGGCAGAAGAACTGCTTGAACCTGGGAGGCAGAGGTTGCAGTGAGCTGAGACAGAGCCACTGCACTCCAGCCTGGGCAAGAGAGCGAGACTCAGTCTCGGTGTGGGGGACCACAACCACAACAACAAACCAGTTCTTAACAGGACCCTAGAAACACTGCTGGTCCAGTATTCATAACGAAATCAAAAATTTAACTCCATTTATTGCAGTAAAACATTTAAAAATATTTAGGAGCACTTAATCTTCAAAGCCAGTGATTACATGTGCCTGATCCATAACAGTTGACTTCAAACTGACTAATACAGTTAAAAATGAATATAAAATACTCAGATGCTTTGGGTCCAAAAAAGAGGCATAAAATATGACCACACTTATTCCTATGCTCCACAGACCCTGTGACTAGGGCTCTTGAGACTTAGTCTGCTTCTAAAGAGGCTACTATGTGGTTCAAGTCTGCAAGGCATTCTACAGTCTAATTCTACGTCCAACTTCTGTTCAATCACAATTTCACATAAGTGGGATAACAGTTACTTTCTTTGTTATATGACTTCCTTGCTGCATGCCATATAGAAAATTTCACGCAAAATTATACCACCTTCTAATGGACAGTACACTTGTATTTTAAGCAAACAACTTTCATGATGCAAAGCAAGACAAAGCATGCTAACAAGGTCACATTCTGTAGAAAAAGATATTCTTTATATAAACATTTCTAATTTATATCACAAAATATAACCTAGCACTTTAAAACAATTAGTCTACTTAATATTTCAAATGATCATCCCATTGCAACACTTTCAGTTGCTATTTTAAACACTGATATATTTAATTTGCAAATAAACCAATCTTCATAAATTCAAATTAAGATGATTCACAGAAAATTATATAAAAACACAAAATATAAAACCTAGACTACTTTAACAAAACAATTAATGGCCTTAAGCTATTAAATCAAAACAATGTGAAATACTTACTAAAAAAAAAAGTAAATACGTATTTCACATGTGTCTAATGAGAAACAGAGGTATTAACAAATCCATGTATTTGTTGACTATCAATTATACAACACAAACCTTCTAGATAACATTAGCGAAAGCAGGCAGGGCCACACACATCAGCCTCTGACACACTCCAACTTACAGATGCCCTCCAGGAGCTAACTGCCACAGAAACTCAGCGTGCACTGCTCCCTGAGGCAGGTATTCCTGGGCTGACCCCATAGCAAGGCAGACACTCAGACTGCACATACAACTCTTACCAAACACTGAGCACAGGAAAACTGATGACAAGTGTGAACTGGGTCCCAGGATGTAAAAAATCTAGACCAAGACTGGCATACAGAGTACAAAGGAGACCCCAACAAGAGGTCTAGAGTCCACACACACAGGACACAGAGACACAGGAGACCCACACTCAGGCCTAGAGTCCACACAGCCAGGACACAGAGACACAGGAGACCCACACTCAGGCCTAGAGTCCACACACACAGGACACAGAGACACAGGAGACCCACACTCAGGCCTAGGGTCCACACAGCCAGGACACAGAGACACAGGAGACCCACACCCAGGCCTAGAGTCCACACAGCCAGGACACAGAGACACAGGAGACCCACACTCAGGCCTAGGGTCCACACAGCCAGGACACAGAGACACAGGAGACCCACACCCAGGCCTAGAGTCCACACAGCCAGGACACAGAGACACAGGAGACCCACACTCAGGCCTAGGGTCCACACAGCCAGGACACAGAGACACAGGAGACCCACACTCAGGCCTAGAGTCCACACAGCCAGGACACAGAGACACAGGAGACCCACACTCAGGCCTAGAGTCCACACAGCCAGGACACAGAGACACAGGAGACCCACACTCAGGCCTAGAGTCCACACAGCCAGGACACAGAGACACAGGAGACCCACACTCAGGCCTAGAGTCCACACAGCCAGGACACAGAGACACAGGAGACCCACACTCAGGCCTAGGGTCCACACAGCCAGGACACAGAGACACAGGAGACCCACACTCAGGCCTAGGGTCCACACAGCCAGGACACAGAGACACAGGAGACCCACACCCAGGCCTAGGGTCCACACAGCCAGGACACAGAGACACAGGAGACCCACACCCAGGCCTAGGGTCCACACAGCCAGGACACAGAGACACAGGAGACCCACACCCAGGCCTAGGGTCCACACAGCCAGGACACAGAGACACAGGAGACCCACACCCAGGCCTAGGGTCCACACAGCCAGGACACAGAGACACAGGAGACCCACACTCAGGCCTAGGGTCCACACAGCCAGGACACAGAGACACAGGAGACCCACACTCAGGCCTAGAGTCCACACAGCCAGGACACAGAGACACAGGAGACCCACACCCAGGCTTAGACACCACGCGGCTGGCCCACTGAGTGAGCAGAAGACCTGCACCCAGGTTAGGTCCACATGGCCAGGGACTGCCCTCTGACAGCCCTGTCATACTTTTGTTGACCCTGCCTTAGGGAGCCCAGCTTTCCTTGCAGGTTTGTAGCATCTGAGCATCAGGAACACTCCTTCGTAAGCTTCTCACTATAACAAACATGGCAATTCTCCAGGACCTTGTTCTGTATTTTAGAGAACAAGTTTTCTAAATCCACATGGGAAGCACAACCTCAGGCAGCACAGCAGGCTCCGTGTCCTGCCGTCGGTCACCTCTTGTCTGGTGCATCTGCCTGTCATGTCTAACTGGAGTCCTGGTTCCCAAGCATTCAGAGCTCTAGGACAGGGGAGAAGTACCAAGTTCACCTCCCCTTCAGAGTCAACTTGAATTCCATGGAGACACAACTTTTAAAGGTTAAAAGGAATTCTAGACTTACAATCAATTACAAAGAAGACAAGATTACTGTGGAAATCTTTCAAACATTCCTTAGGATATAGCATATGATAATATACAGAATTTGGTAACTGTTCACACGAATAAGCCTTTTAAATAAAGATACGTATGTATTAAGAGTTGAAATTAAAGAAAAAGCTTACATTTAAAGATGTTCGAGCACAAACTAACATTAAAGGCACCTTACTTAAGCTTTTCGAATGGATGGTTTAAAAGCCATCTTCATGCCCACTAGGCAGACATGGCACTGAATGTTAGATGGCAAAGGGAACAGCAAGGGTGGGATAGGGCTGGCACGTTATGAGACCCAATTACTGTCCAGCTAGTGGCTCCCACTTGCCAAGGTCATCAAGAGAACTGAGGTCAGGAGAGAAAACTGTCCAGGAAACTGAACATGATGTTTCAAAAGCCTTAGCTTCAGCCTCCCTCAGGAAAAGGGCCACAAATCAACAGTACTAGGGATCAGTAACAACGTTTAATTTACGTTTATACAGGCCCCAGGAAACAAAAGATGAAATGTATTTTAAAAAGAGAAGCATTACTATCTTCATGAATGACCCTTAATGAACAATAATCAGTATCAATAACCCTTAATTAACAATAATCAGTATCAATAAGATGGGAAAAACAGCTGCAATAACTACATATGGAAAATGTAAGCCTTCTCCCACGTGTCAGCTTCTGAGTCTTGTATCATTAATGTTTTCGTATCACTACTGAGGCCAAGCGCTTGAGGACACTGGCTTTAGAGGAAGGTGCAGCTGGACTCCATTCTGGTCCAGGTGCAGCCTGGCTTTGTGGTAACTGGCAGGGGTAACACACCCCCGCAAATGCAGCCATTCAGTTTGAGGCCAGGCCAGCACTGACCGTACTCACCACCTAGCATAGAGGCTGGTAACACTCACGCCTCTCAGCAACACCGAGACAGCAGCATGAAGAAAGCTTCAGGGCAGGTTTCCCTAGATGAATGTGCCTGCCCATGATGTGAGGACCCCTCCCTGAGGCCTACAGAGCCCAGGGCCCGTGTGTCCACCCCTGAGATGTCCTCCTGGTGTGAAATCCCCCCATGAGGCCTTCAGAGCCCAGGAACCACATGTCCAGCCCTTGTCCTCCTGGTGTGAAATCCCTCCCTGAGGCCTACAGAGCCCAGAACCTGCCCTGCTCACCTCTCAAGTCTCTTTATGGAAAACCGTCCTTATTCTCTCTCTTTATATGTTAAGAAATTTATATATATATATATTTTTATATATATATATGTATAAATGTTTATATAATATTTACACATGCAAACACAATGTTATATATAACATTTATACATTTAGATGTAATTTATATATAAATAACATCATCAAACACCCACAGAATTGTCCCCTATTAAAACTGTCATATACCCATCGAGCATTTTTTAAAGACTAAAACTCTAGGATAAGATTCATCCTCTTTCAAATTTGATCCTCCCAAAAGCTAACACATGTCCTCTAGGAATCTGTTGTGTAGTTTCGCACACCTGCAGGCCGCATTTTAAACACAAGCACACAAAGCTGCCCTGTGGTGACACCTTCCATCTCCATGGCCAGGCACACTGGCCCTTGGATCCTTTTCTTCAAGGTACTGTCTCTCAGCACTAGGTTTCTGCCACGAATGCTCCTCACACTGTTTCTGCGACTCATCTCACCTTGCCACATCTGCATATTCTTTAAACCTAATTTAAATGTTTCTTCTTCAGAAAAGCTGTCCCTAGACCTGGTCTACATAAGCTTCTTGAATTACAAAATGTGGACGGCACCCAGTATCTGTTTGTGACACTCTGCACGGTAACATTCTTGTACCACTTTCTTAATCTCTGTCCACAAAACCATAAGCTCATCCAGGACAAGATCTGTAACTGCCTCGCCCCAGACCACATCACCGTGCCTGGTGTAGAACGGGGGCTCCATGCACACGCATGGGGAGTGAGTGGCATCTCGGAGAGAAGGGCTGCCAGCACTGGGCAGCACTGAGAAGACAAAGCTCCGACAAGTCCAGCCTTGCACTCGGGGCTGCCATCGACTCTCACGCCCTCTCTCCTAGAGCTCCCTGTTGCTAAGCACCATTATCGGCACCAGCATCAACACCAACCCATTCCTGCTAAACGCCCTCCCCAGCATCACTGTCAGTGCTGTGTAATTTCTCATCAGCTTCCTTCCAAACATCATCCTCAGTGTCAACTAACATCTGCTAACATGATAATCATCTGACATCATCTACCTCTCACAGCACGCCTGGCCTCTCTCAATACTTTTCTGTTCCGCAGTCACTCTGGCCGTGCTCTCCTCCTGCCGACCCTTGTTGCAGGAATTTCAGACCCACCTAAAACCACCACTGGCTTCCCAAGCTCTTCTGTGGTGCTTCCCATTAAGGAACACTGACACACCTGTCAGGAAAACACAGGTCAAAGACGAATGGAGCCTGTCTGTCCCCCGAAGGAAGGCTGCAGCGCCTCTCCCCGTCTCTGGCCTTGGGAACCACGGGCAGCATCTGATGAGCAGCACAGACCTCGGCACAAACTCCCAGGACTGTCTCATACTCACTGAGCTGGAGTCTGCATTTAGCAAGGTCCCTAAGTATTTCAGGGCACTGTGAGAAACACTTGTTTGGTGCTCCTGGACAAAACAAAGCATCATCTATCAGGAGCAATCACACGCAGAGGAAAATGTTTTCTTTCCTCACCTGATGCGACAATGGTGCTTGCCCACAATGTATTTTCGATGCTGAGACTTTCATGAACGGGCGGGTCACTGTCTTCCTGTGCAGGGAAACAAAAAGAAGACAAAACTGGCAAATTAGTGACTGTTCATGATTCCTGCCTTCCATATCACCAGTGTTAGAAACAGGTCCGCAGGCTCAATCCAACTCCACAGCAGTGCAAAAGCACTGCCAAATACAAGTTAGAAAACAGGGATTATCCTGTAACCCAGCATTTTGGGAGGCTGAGGCAGGCGGATCGCGAGGTCAGGAGATCAAGATCATCCTGGCCAACAGGGTAAAACCCCGTCTCTACTAAAAGTACAAAAAAAAAAAAAAAAAAAAATTAGCTGGGTGGGTGTGGTGGAACCTGCCTATAATCCCAGCTACTCAGGAGGCTGAGGCAGGAGAATCGCTTCAACCCGGGAGGTGGAGGTTGCGGTGACCCGAGATCCTGCCACTGCACTCCAGCCTGGCGACAGAGTGAGACTCCATCTCAAAAACAAACAAACAAACAAAAAATAAACAAAACATTGAAACTACACGTTTAAAGAACTCCTGTAATCAACTGTTTTCAGTGCTTAACATTAATACGCAAAATAATTCGAAATTTTCATGAAAGTACTATATCTTCTAATATTTATTTATGAGGTCTTATTATGTTGCTCAGGCTGATATCAAACTCCTGAGGTCAAGCAATCCTCCCATCTGAGACTCCCAAGTAGCTGGGCTTACAGGTGCATCCAGCATTCCCAGTTTATTCAACCACCCAGCATGCCCACCTAATTCGACCATCCAGCATGCCCAGCTTATGTGACCACCCAGCATGCCCAGCTTATTCGACCATCCAGCATGCCCAGCTTATTCAACTACATCTTCAATACATCATTTAGCAACACCCCTGGGAAAGTAGAAAATACTAGCACAGAAATAACCACAAATCAACTCTTCAACATTTCTTTTGTATGCATAGCGTAATTTCCTCTCCCTATCACTCGTTAAGGACGAGGGCTATGCTTTTCAAGTGTACATGTATTGATGAGAGACAAAATGGTTCTGTGATACTGTTATAGAAGAAATATATATATATATGTATTTTTTTTGAGACAGAGTTTCGCTCTTGTTACCCAGGCTGGAGTGCAATGGCGCGATCTCGGCTCACCGCAACCTCCGCCTCCTGGGTTCAGGCAATTCTCCTGCCTCAGCCTCCTGAGTAGCTGGGATTACAGGCATGCGCCACCATGCCCAGCTAATTTTTTGTATTTTTAGTAGAGACGGGGTTTCACCATGTTGACCAGGATGGTCTCGATCTCTTGACCTTGTGATCCACCCGCCTCGGCCTCCCAAAGTGCTGGGATTACAGGCTTGAGCCACCACGTCCGGCAACATATATATTTTTAAATGTCATTTCTCTTAAATTCCTCTTTAAAAGTATGCGCTTATTGTACTGAATATTCTTAATTAAACAAAATTCAAGTAAGTTATATGATGCTAATTACCTTAACAGGTAACAAATACGGCCACACATCAGTATCACAATAGGAATACATACAGTCTAGTTTTACACTTACATTTTTAATAATCATACTCAGAGATGAAAACTACAATTTAAAATCTGGGAATTTTTTCATCTTAACCTAAAGTCATAGCCTACATTGTGGTCATGGAAGCATCTAGAATAAGGGAGTGCGGGAGTCCACAGCCCTGCATCTAGAAGTAACACAGGAAAGACTTCCCATGTGGGAGGCAGCGACCTCGATGTCTGCACAGCGTAAGAGCCATCACTGTCCTGACTGTTGGGCGTCTCTCGTAAAGTAATGCCACCTCCACCGAACTGTATTTTATTATGAGATGATAATTTGCTATCAAGATACATGTTTTAAAAAAAGGAATTAAATTTGGGAAGGAAGGAAAAAAACAGAAAACATATTTTCCAAAATAAGCTGCATGTACAAAATACGTTTATGCTACTGGTGTTTTCCTTCTATTTACTTATCAAACCCCTTTCAAATGATGTAAGTTGTGGCCATTTAGCTTATCACTTGGAAGATATTTGCTTGACAGTTGATTCTCTCATATACTTGATTTATTTATTTGTGAGGCACAGAATCTAAACCAATCTTAACAGTTTCCAAAATATTTCCCGTCATATTGCAATTATTCAGAAACTAAAGTGTTTTCAATGACATTTGATTTGAGGAAGGGGTTTGGCGTCCAGTAGTTGGAAAGCTTCCTGCAATGCAGGTGCAGCGCAGGGTCAGACTCCCAGGGCCCCGAGGAGCATGAACTTTTCGCTACGTCCCTTCACAAGAAGGCGACCAGCTGACCTGAAGACTGGCCTTAGCATCTCAGCCTTTGGGAGAGTGAAAGCTATGATGCTAGAACTGTTTATGACACAGCTGGAGTGCTGCTTCTTCGGAAAAAAAAATCATTTCAAAAATATCCACTGGCATTTAACTCAACAGTGCCTTGATTACATCATCAACAATACAGTTTCAGTAGGCAGAAGTGCAATGCCAGCCACAACAAGGGACACAAACAGGTCTTCTCAGTGACTTCAATGGTTTTGAGGAGCAGGCGGCCTACCGACGCAGCCTCGATGGAAACAATCTGTCTACACCATGTGCTGACTCCAGCATGGACCTATTACTATTTCTGCAGATTCACAAATACCTTCAATTCTACATTCCCTTACAAATTACTTCCTTCAATTCCAGTTTATCAAGTACAACATGTTACACACTTTGCTGTACTTAGCAGTTACAACTTACAAAAATCTAATAATTAACCTGTATGGAGATGCAAAATACTAATAGTTTCATACTAATATGTTTACAAATACCAAATATACTGGATCAAAGTAAGCTCCTGGACAGTACCTAACACGCTATCATTACAGTCTTTAAAATACATAACAATTTATCCAGTGCTGAGATAAACAATCCAGAAAAACTGAGTTTTCCTTATGACTTTTATAAGTTTGTAGAACAACAAAAATATCAACTTAAAAACAAAAGCAAGTATACTCTATGGATTAGACTACTTTGTAATTGAATTCAGGACTGCACTAAAATGGCGATTTCATACAACTGGTGTTACAGTCTAATTCAGCTTAACACTGCTGAAGAAGCAAAAAAAGAAACATATCCTCATTGCTACTTCCCAGATACAGTCAACAGGGCATATCCTTTAACTGCTTGTGGGTCTAGGGGTTCCAGTACTGGCACGGCCAACTGAGCATACAGTTGGCATTAGGAAGCCAAATGCTGAATTCCGTAGTTACCATTTTAAAGCATGAAGCAAATAAAATTTTTATCTTCAATAAATTCGGAATTTTATTGTATCAGAGCAACTGGGATGTTCCTAATCCCATGTTTTATGGGTGTTTTACCTTCTGAGCACCTAGCATGGAATAGGCAATGAACACTGTCCAATAAACAAAAGAATACTCATGAAATTCTTTTTCTAATTTCCACAGGAATCAAGGTGTCTTTCATCTCCAGTGCCCACTACCATGATGCTATAATGGGTCACAGGCCTGCAGGTACTCTGATTCACCTTTTATGAAGTATCAGGAACCTGCTCCTCCATGTCCTCCTGCCTCTACAAAGCATCAGCTACCCTCCTCCACGCCCTCCTGCCTCTATGATGCATCAGGTACCTGCTCCTCCACACCCTCCTGCCTCTATGATGCATCAGGTACCTGCTCCTCCAGGTCCTCCTGCCTCTACACAGCCTCAGGTACCTGCTCCTCCAGGGCCTGCTGCCTCCTGTCACTCTAAGCCTTCTACCCCTATGAGGCATCAGGTACCTGGTCCTCCAGGTTCTCCTGCCTGAAAGTACCCATCATGACTTTGCCATCCCAGCAGAAATTCACACAATTGTATTTCCTTTAAACTCTTCCTAATGCTTCACTTAATATGAAAGTTTAATTATTGATGCATGTCAATGTTTTAGTACAGTATTTTCTCTTAATCTCAAAGTTAAGGAGAATAAAGGCATTAAAAAACATAAAAATTTTAGGTTTTCTCAAATGTAAACAAAAGGCTCTATATAATTTAGTTTTAGAAATTTTAGCTGGTTTCTTGTTACTTTTCCATGACCATTTTTTCTTATGAATGTTTCTGTCTCTAACACAATTTTATGTTGAGGAAAACACAATAGCCATGCATTTTTCAATTCTAGAATAGCAATGATTAACTATGAGCACTAAACCTTTTTCTAATATGGAGAAAATCATTCCAAAAGATAGTTTTCTTACCAGTCTCATGAAGCACAGAATAAAAACTGGGAAGACTGAAAATAAATGATCTCTAAAATATTCTGTTTTGCTTTCCTTCTCTTTAACGGTCTATAGTGTGAACAGGTAAAATCTGCTTGGGTGAGGACGCCTATGTTACCATTTCACGCTGTTCTCTCAACTGTGTATCCTACTTAACAAAAAAACAGAGGTTTGCTTTGTTGAAGGAGAGTATTTTTGTTGAAGAAGACATGAACAATGATAAGTGTGCTATGGTTTGCAAAATAAATTACAGCGGAAAATACATTCTCAAAATGACTGACTGGGAATGTGACTGTAAATTCCTGAATTCAGGAATGGGAACGAAGGACTATAAATACTGATAATGTTTCAAAACTGGCTACAATTTTCAACTCCAAACCTCCAAAAGAATCTGTCTAGATTTTGAACAATAACTAAAATTAGTGATATTAATAATTCATATGAATCATGCATATAATGAAAAAGGTTATACAATCAATGATTTAGGTTGTTCTCCCATTATGAGGAAAGCGGAAGCGGGTTCTACCACAGCATCACATCCACATAGATAGCACACAAGCCGCAGCATGCATACTGGGTATACCACCACAGGAACCTTCAATTAATGGGCACTAATTCCGTATTTTTTTTTAAGACAGGGTCTCACTCTGTCGCCCCGGTTGCAGTGCAGTGGCACAATCACAGCTCAGTGCGGCCTCAGCCTCAGGCCTGCAGGATCCAGTGATCCTCCCACCTCAGCCTCCCAAGTAGCTGAGGGTACACACATGTGCCAGCTGTAG